TGTCGTCGTTCCATCGTGCAATGTGAACACAGCAGCAACTGAATGCTACCCCAGATAGTCGTTCAGTGTGAAACCAACAGTGATGCGACGTCTTTGAAAAACGTGCAGTGTGAACTCGGCATAAGACATATTATTTCCTGGATGTAAGATTTTCGAATTTGTTGCCTATGTGATTTTGTTTTATTCAATAGCTGCTACTCTGTCATCTATATTTGCTAAGTACCTTTTAGTAGGGTCATTCACTCAGAACGCATTTTTCATTCCACTGCGGTACTTTTCCCTTGTATTTCAAACTAAATGCGCTACGGACGTCTTTGAATTTGTGTTTGAATGCTGTGCTCGTCTCAGGTCTTTATAGCAGCTTGTCGCGCATAATACATCAGTCTAAAACCATACCTGTCAACCCTCCCGTTTTTCCCAGGATTCTCCCATATTTTACAATTCTATCCCGCTATCTATCCCGTTTAAATATTTTCCCGTATTTTTAATCTTTCTATAAAAAAAATCCCACTGGGCGTATTTTATAGCCTATGTTTGCTACATTCGCCTCCGGTACAACTCCCGTAATTTGTATGGCCCAAACTTCATTATATGAATAATCACGTCAACAAATTCCAAGGTTGCTATGCAAAGCAAGATTTTTCTAACCATGAACCTACATTTTTTTGCACTAATCAGTTGATCCACAAGGTGGCGACTAGGGATGGAACGGTTCGCGGATGTAGTTGCCCACGCCGGGCACTAGGACCGCGGTTCAACTTAAATCTGACAATGCATCTGTAATATGCTTTGTTAGAGTTCGTCTAATGCATGTTTCTGTTGATGGATACAAATTCTGGCTTCTCAATACATTACAACAAGAGTGATGAGAGAGAAAAAAAAACAACTATATGTGGACAAACCAGTCACTCTTTGTTCAATGTGAGTGCTGTATGCTGGAATAACTCATTTATGCTGTCATCACGTGTTGATAGCGCAGGTGAGACCTGAACAGCACACGTTGCTATCTGTGTTTAAACTAAACTCATTTAAGCCTTGCCAGTTTAAATATTAAAGAGCCAGAAGACGTGAACTCGCGCGCGCAGTGAGAAGATCTGTGTGGTCGCTCAACTGAAGCGCGTGAACCCGCGTCTCAGAACGTGCGGAAATATTAAGCTCTCTTTGAAGTATTGTTGCTTGAATGGACAAATTCACACAAAAATTATGTCAAAATGCCCGTCTTGGTGAGTATCCTAGCAGACAGTCGGCTGAACGTACAGTATCAGTGCACTGGATCAGTGCGTTCCCTTAAAGTGACAGCACTTTCTTAATATTAATCAAACAGCAACAACACAGAAATCTCTCACTGCTCTTGATTGAATAACTTTTGTAACTTTAATAAGGATTAATCTTTAATTTATACAGTCAAATATGCAATGTTATTTTACATTTGATTTATTCAATTTCTGTACCTAAAAACTAATGTTAGACCTACCTAAAAAAAACTGAAAATCACTGTTTATTTTATTTGTATCTTTGCTCTATTGTATTTATTTGTGCTGTTGCTTGTAGTTAGATTATTTGTTCTTATTTACTTTATTTTTATTTGACAATATAGTTTTTTCCCTAAACATAGCACATACCGAACCGTACCGAAACCGTGACTCTAAAACCGTGACACAAACCGAACCGCGAGTAAGTTGAACCGTTGCACCCCTACTTCTCACGAGTACCGCGGGAAGGAAAGGATCACTGGTAGAAATGGGACGGTAGGAGAAGACTCAAAAAAACAAATAGGCTATACATGCAAATTGAGATATAGCTTACACTTCAAAAGGCTAATTCAGCTTCTAAAAACACGTCTCTAGACCTTGCAGTTTAAAAAAAAACCACTGACCTGTCTCATGACCAAAACACTATCTGTGTGAACCCAGTATTAATAGTAGCGGGCAGGTTTGTTTACGGTCCGACAAATACGTGAATGGGCCACATAACCTATGTTTTTTTTTTACTTTGTGCTACGTCATCGCCCCCTTTCGTTACCTCAGCTACGCTGGCGCCGGCTCTGGTCAGTGTAATTAATAATTACATACATTTGCAAGTATTGCTTGATGCTACTTCTAATTATATTTTAGGATGTAACCTATTCTTGTAAGCATTATATTTGTTCTCTTTGACTCGTTGGATGGAAACGATGCTTGTTCGCAAATGTTTTATGCGATATTCCAGTTTTGCGCATAAGTTAAATTTGCAACTTTGGATGGAAACCCGGCTATAGATAGTTTGTTTCTGGTGTAGAACCTTGTTTATCTTAATTTAATGCTGTATATTGAGCAGCGGATGATGTTAAATCCATTTACGAGATACATATCTGAGGAAAAATGCATTGTTGGTCGGCGCCACCTAGTGTGCAGGCGTGAATTAGCAGAAGGCGAACAATCGCTTCATGTTCGGTGTGAAAGCACCGTTCGTCGGCGATTCGCCTCGGTGTGGAAGGCCTTTAAACAGACGCCACTGCCATCAGCACTGGAGCTGCTGTGAACACAGAGCACAGTCCTTACGCCGGTTCTCCTGCTCCAGCTCCAGACGCCTCCTCCTCTCCTCCTCCAGCTGCTGTCTCCTCCTCTCCTCCTCCTCCTCGCGCTCCTCTCTCTCCCGCTGAGCCTGACGCTGTCGCCGTATCTCCGCCAGCAGAGCCAGATACCTCCTCCGGCAGATCCGAGAGCGGTAATCTACACAACAAGAGACGCAGTCAAGTATTAAACACACTTGAATGCCACAAGACAAACTCAATCACACTGTTAAAAACAATATATTATTTTATTATTATTTATAAAATTTTAATAAATGTTATATTTACTTAGAATTTTTTTAATAATAAATATTTCAAAAAATTTTAAATGTTATATATTACATATATTAACACACACACACACACACACACACACATATATATATATAATTTAACAAATGATTAAATAGTTAATTTAAGTACATATATTATATTATATTATATTATATTATAATAGCATTTTGACCAGTTTTATATTTAATTTTTCCTTACTTACATTTTCAGAATGGTGGTTAGGGGTTTGTTTAAATCATTAAACCGGCATAAGAACAATAATAATTGTGATGCATGTCTCAAATACCCCTAATAATGCTTATAATTTGATTGATTTCATGACTTAAACAGGCTGCATCACGCTCAAACTTACCCGCACTTCCAGCCAGAGAGTTCAGTGCTGTTCAGGATCGACATGCAACTGAAAGAAAACAAGCCAAATGATCCATATTAATGAAACCGAATGATAGGGAGCTTATTCCTCTCATGCGAGATTTGTCAAATGAACTATTAATATCTTTATTAACAGTATGTTATTATTAAAAATAGTGCATTATTATCCATCTAGGTGGGAACTTTGTGTGTTGTTCACACCTGGTTTTGTCCAGCGGGAGATCCGGTTTCAGCAGCAGAATGTTGTACCTACAGGACAGAAATATGAGTCACGCCGCGCCGCAGGAAATCTGACGTAATGAGCTCATAAAATGTCAGTTTTCCCGCCTGCACACGAACCTCTCTGCAAACTCCCTGAACTTCGGACGCCACGAGAAACCGTCCCGCCGGATTCGGATGGTTTCCATCAGGCCGTTGTATCTCAGCTGCAGAGGATGGAAAGAGAAAATCAGATTATTATCAAATTGTTTATTTAATTAATACATTACATAAATATAATAAATTAATGTATGTATATTATTTTTTTATTCAGCTTTCAGATGATGTATAAATCTCAATTTCAAAAAAATTGACCCTTGGTTTTGTGCTCCAGGGTCACATATATAATTGTATAATATACATTTTATTATACATTTTATTTTATACGTGCACACACATATGTATATATACAATTAAATTGTATATAAAATATGTATATTATATAGAAATATTATATACATAACATTTATTATATATAAAATATATATTTTCTGTTAATATAAAATGTAATTAAAGCATACATAATAATAAATATTTAATAGAAATAATAATTAGTTATATATGTATTATATTTTTTATTAAATATAAAATATAAATATCTATATCTATTATAACATAAATATACATTTTATAATAGTTTTTATTATATATGACATATATATTCATTATATAAAAATATACATTTTTAATTTAATATAAAATAAAATACACATAATAAATATATTAATTAAACATTTAATAATCAGAATTTATATTAAGTATATATTGCGTATTATATATTACATTTCATATTAAAATAAATTTTTTTTTGTTTTATTCTATACTATGTGATATATAATATCTATTATTCTTATAGGCTGCAAACTGCACTTCCACAAATGTCCAGCAGGTGTCAGTGTTGCACAGTCATACAGTTTTGTCGGTCCTGCTGATGTACATTCCAAGGCTGTACATCATCTGACCATGTGACTTAATAGCTGTTTATGTGTAAACATACATGCACAGATAGACACAAACTGCATCATTTGAACAGGATGGACCGATCTTACAGAAAACATTAGCTGCTAGTTGCTTATTACTTACTACTATTAGTAACCATCCAGAACACTTTAGAAACCACTAGGCAGCACCCTAACACAGTGGTGGACTAATATCTACACAACACAGAGCTTATAGTCAGTGTTAAAATCTACAATGTGTCATTGAACTAATAGCTCCAACAAGATAATGGCTTACTAATACAGTGAGATATATTCATATTGGCCCTTAAACACAAATTTAGCGGCTCCTGTATCATTAGAGGGATTTGGATTGAGCTCCATCATAACAGCATTGAAAGGCTTGCAGGTTTAAGTACAGCTCACAGAGCTCAGTCTGCACCGGAGGGCAGGAAAATCTGAGAATGCATTCAGCTCCACAGTGGAACATAAAAGAGGCCACAGACAGGGCCGAACGCAGCGGAGCTCTCAGTTTAACCCACCTGATCCATCACCAGTTTACTGTCCAGCTGATCGGGCTGCTTGCTTCGGTTGGGTTTGATGCACCGAACAAAGTGTGGACCAGCCGCAAACATCTTCTCCATGAGGACAGCCAGAGAACGCTGCACGGAAAACAACACACAGACGGTTCGGCTGCAGGGTCAAACACACGAGTGAGAGTCAGAGCTGAGTTACCATGAAAATCACAACGCAAAATATCTTAAACGGTCCAAGAAATAGACTTCACTTTACGAAAATAACATTTATCTTCATTATGGGGTGAAATTTATAGAAAAAGGTTTTCCATCAGAGAATAAAAAATATACAGATAATTAAATAAAGGTAATTTTATCTCACAATTCTGGAAATTCTAATCATAATAGTGAGATATATATATATATATATATTAGGGATGGGAAGATTCCCCGATTCGCTCGGTGCATCGACATAAAAAGTTAACGATGCGATGCATCGGTTTAAAAAGTGTGCATCGGCTACAAGTTGGCATTTGTATCGCGATGCATCGTTTCTAACATATTTGCATCGGTAAAAACCGATTTATTAATATATAATTACTAGTGGATACACTATACTTTTATTATTTAGAAAGTGACCAATAATCTGTGAGCAATATTTTATATGTAGATTGATTTCTCCTCTCTAAACTGTTTCTCAAGCGCGTTCTCTCATCACCGCTGCTGCTGCGTGAATATGACCAAAAACCAAAACCTGACTTGAAATAACCTAACAAATCAATCGGGGCTAAACGGTTCCATTATCGACAAATTAAATTCACATTCCTTCACTAATTTGTGCACACTTATTCTTAAGCAGACCTTAATGTCGATCATGGATCAAATCGATCCACGGACTATTGTAATAGGTAAATCAAATGTAAGCTAGACACAGTAATTACTAAGCTCAAATGAGTTAATGTGTGTTTCTTATAGCAGTTAAAATATAGTCATTTTCTTAATTATTTATTTTCATTTTTAATTCCGTGATTTTAACTTTTAATTTAGTTATTTTAATGCTTTAAAGAGCTATTTTAGATTGTAATGTCCTCAGTTCTGCAAACTATAAAAGGTACAGCTGTCATAAAACCTGAGATAAAGGCTGCAAAAAAAAAAAAAAGTCAAATAATAGTATGTGAGAGAGTAGTAATATCATT